AGATAGAGAATTTTTCCCGATCAAAATGACACCAAAAATATAAATTTTTGATGGAAAACTTACGGAATTATGCTCTCGCGAAGTTAGCGGTCTTGGCGATGTTTACGGATCGGAGATTTTGCCCACTTTGAGCCCCATTTTCGGCAGTTCCACTGTACTAGTCGACAAAAAACATGAATATTCGCTAGAACTCCATTTTTTCTATTGAATGAGCGCAAGAAACCACCCATTTACCAATTCAACTATCCAGTACAGTGGTCAGAATTTAGCAATTTTGCCAATTTCACACAAATTTCAAAAGATGCCAATTTCCGAATAGGGTCCAAACAAACAAGAAATACATTTCCTGGCACTAAAATGACATATCCTCTGTTCATTAGTCACCTCTCAAGGCCCCTCTTACATCTTTTGCTTTCCACTTTGAATTTTTATTCTCCAAAAAATAGAAGATTTACTGTTTTGCAGACTACTGCATTAGTGTAAAAAAATGGTATGAATCATATTGGTGCACTTGCAAAAGAATATTAGACTCACCAGTTGACGTGTATTGGACGCTTGGCATGATTTGTTTACTTTTGAACTTTGGTAAAAATCGAACATTTCTGCTACTTTGAGCTCAATTTCAAGGTACTTTTCATTGTAAAACCAGTCAAAATCATCTCAATTTCTATGATATGCCTTCCATTCTATAAAATGAGAACAAGAAAACTAGAATACAACAATAAATACCATACGAAAATACAGTGCAAAGTCGCTGTTTTATTAAAAAAAAAATGGTCAGTTTTTTTTTCTCATTATGCACTGTGTGCTGCAGGATTTTTTTTTATACCATGCACACTGACCACATAGACCCATTCTTTCATATGGAGGCCTACCAGCTTTCTCCCACTAGATTTGAGGGCGCTAGAATTTAGGCGTACTAGTACGTCAAAAACCCTGGGTCGTAAGCCATACTAGTACGTCCAAAACCCTCAAAGGGTTAAAGGAAGAATGGATATAATTGAAAAACCACTGCATTAGCGAATGCCATATAGCAAAGTCCTGTATCTCTCATTTCCCAGGCACTGTTTTACATGGGGTTAAGAACATCCCTGTGAGTACAGTAGCAATAATAATATGCATTGATACAAAAATGCATGTATATAATTAGTGTGTTCATGGGTATTTTTTTTATTATTATATTATTTTCTGAGCAGAAGAGGCATACAGCATGCAGGTGACCTTCAGGCAGGCAGAGGACTATCCAGTGGATCTCTACTATCTCATGGATCTCTCAAAGTCTATGGAGGATGACAAGGAGTCTCTCTCCCAAGCTGGGCGCACAGTTGGCAGAAGAGATGCAGAAAATCACCAAAAATTTCAAGCTTGGCTTGGGTCCTTTGTAGACAAGGTTGTCATGCCCTACGTCAGTACTGTTCCAGAGAAGTAAGCTCTAGTTATTTCTGTGTAATTCATTATATCTGTAGTACTGCATTATAACATAACATACATTATATTGTACTTGTAGTTATACATTATCCTAGGAAGCCTTAAATTGTTTTAAATAATGGTAGGATTGCTGGTGTCTTTTATGTCTCATTAACGTGCAAGTTTTTATGCATGTCTTGCTACTTTTACTTACACTTAGGTCACGCTACACATGCATGTACAAGCATATACATACATTAGGGAGCATTGAATAAATACAAATTTTAGAGATGCAAGCTGCACTTTTCAGGCATTATTTGCATGGTCACAACAAACTTCTGCATAAAAATTCAGACCATTTCATGCTCATTTACCCTGGAACATTGCAGTCGACTTTTTGTCAAATTATACACCATTGAAAGCTATTAGTTATAATTTATTGGTTGTCAGGATAATTATCAAGTGTATATGGTAGATATTATTTTTGGTTGTGAAGATTGTACAATCAAATGCACATGGGTTATATCAGTCATCATCTAGTTAATTTAAAACTATTACAAGTTATAAGTGATGTCTTTCTTGGTGCAGAACTTGAGCATCACTTTCCTGGAAAATATTCTTTGCCTGATATATCCATCTCTTGCCTTCTGTCCAGTCACTTCAGTCATTAATTTTATCCCTCTCTCAACAGCTTGAGTATTTGGCCACTCGGGCACTCCAGTGAAGTTTCAATAACTTTCAGAACCTGTTGATCTGATAGAGAAGCAATGAAAGGAGGCTCAGTTTTGAGTTCAGTCTTCCAGTCAATCGTGGAATGATAGTTCTTGCTTGCCACTTTAGTTTGGGAATCACTACTTTTCTTAAGTTGACTATAGGAGCCACATTGTCATTCTCTTCATCTTCACTGTCATCCTCATCATCAGTGTAGATTAACAAGCCCTCGTCAGCAGCATCAGCAGAATCTTCTCCATCCTCGTCAAAGCTCTCGCTACTTTCTTCTGTCTGCTGATTGTCTTCTCTAATTTTTCTTATCATTGATACAGCTTTGTCTCTCACAGTCATGTCTTATCAGCACACATACCAAGAAGCAGCTGATCTGTGTTGAACAAAGTAGGAATTTCTTTGGACACTCTTCTTTACTATCTTCTTTTCTTCACTGTTCAGATGTCTCATAAATTGCAGTGACTGGAAGATGTTCTTTGGACCGTGTCTGACTTAAGGGTGCAGGTTGATATGGAACCAAATTGGAACACTGAACTTTAAATTCATAATGAGAATTTCTTTTCAGCTCCTGACTGGGTCTTGATGTTGCCACGTACAGCCTAAGGATCCTACTCCATAAAGTATTCCACCTTGACACACACAGTGGACCTGGTTCAAGAGCAGCCAAGTCCTCATCATCCATACCTGTAATCACTCCTTTGCAAATCCTATACAAGTATTTCTCTGTCATTCAGAGCAGAGAAATCTGTGAAATTGACTGGCTGGAAAACAACTGGCACTCAGACAGAGGATCCTTGATTTGCTTGCCAATAGGGCCTCTCCAATGATCAGGACCACTAGGCTTACCGTCATAGTGGTAGAAAACTCATCTCTATGAAGCTGGCAGATGAAATAATGGACTGGATGACCATGCAACATTTCAGGATGATGAATGGCTCCATTGTCAGTTCCAACATTTATGGTGGTTCCGTCACAACCAACACATACAACAGGCTACTGAGTTAGTCACGTGAGTGAGATATTCAGTGCCAGGCTCCACCATGATGATGTAATGATCTTTCACCACTATCTTTGGACTCCATTTCTTGGTCTTCTCATTCTTTATCATTACACGAGTGGAGGTCTTCTTACCATCAAAATACAGTGATGAGATATTTTCCAAGTTTGCTAGCTCATTTTCTTGCCTCTCCATTCGGTATTTGTGTCTGGCATCTCGTAACTTCTGTGGCCCAATAACTTGATTTTTGTCGTCCTTGGTGATAATGCCATAGTCCATTAAGGTGGCAGTAGCAATGGCAGCTCCTGCATAATCACTGATCAAGTATTGGTCACATGTGTTGCCAGTGTGGGGAGTCTTGTTCTGTTCTGCTGAGAGCTGCTGGCAGTCATACCACTCAAAACATAGTCAGCATCAGTATTGACAGAAGGTAATCTCTGGCATTATTGAATTATTGTCAAACTCAGAGACTTCTCCAGCTGCCAGTTCACTCTGTCTTTCCTCCAGCTGCTTCCTGGCTCTGGTTGCATCCTGCTCCTCTTTTACCGTCACTCTATCCCATATCCTCAGTACTGTCATGTCAATACAGCCAATTTTCATCTTCCTATCGCCTCTGGTCAAAGAGGAACTGTATCTCACGCTTAGGAACTTTCACTTCACAATTACAGGCCAGTGGTATCTGTCACACTCCTTTATTTTGCAACCTACATCTTGACAGAAGGCAGCCGGACGGGAATAACTACATATATCAAACACTCGTTCATTTCTTCCTGAAATGTAGCTTTTTTGGAGACATTTTTGTTCGTAAGTCCTATTCCTCTACTGTAACAGTTTTCTTAATCTTTCCTCAATTTTCTGGCTGAGAATAGGAATAGTCTTTGTCTCCAGTTAATTTCTGCCATAGTTCAGAACAATCCTTAGCTGCTATCTTGATAATCACTGAAACATCAGTAAACTTTCCTTCATCACATTTATACATGTATCACCAACAGTTCCTTAACATATCGCCTTTGGACAGAAGTTTGTTCATTGGAAGAACACTGGCATGGCCGAACAATGCATGTTCTGCGACTTTCCTGGTTGACATTGTAGCCATCTCAGTAGTAAAGTAGAGTATCTAAAAAGAGAGAGAGTTAGTTACAATGTTTATAAATGCTGCAGAGTACATAGATACATTACATAAAACACTGCACTGCACTACTCAGTAATACATGTCCAAAATTTCAATCGCAAATGCTGTAGGCTAAACCTCAACCAATCAATTTCATATTTGGCACTGAATCTAAGATGTACATAAGGAACAATGCCTGAAGAGTACAGCTTTGACCAGAATTTCAATGCTCCCTAATATACATGCACCCCTCTGGGCTTTATTTTCTTACTAGTTCTTGTTCTTGTTTATTTCCTTTCATCTCCAGGGGGAAGTGGATCAAAATTCTTCCTCTGTAAGCCATGCATGTCGTAAGAAGTGACTAAAATTCTGGGAGCAAGGGGCTAGTAACCCCTTCTCCTGTATACATTACAAAAGCTAAGAGAAACTCATGTTTCTCTTTTTGGGCCACCCTGCTTCGATGGGATATGGCCGGTTTGTTGAAAGAAAGAACAAGAACCCTACATTGTATTCTAATTTTGCTCTCTAAATTCTCTGCATAATATTCACACTACACATTTCTCTCAGACATATGTGCTACACTCCCTCTAGCCTCCTCCTCGCTGTGATGTTTAAACCCCATGCCTCATGCCCATGTGAAAAGGTTGGTATCACTGAACTCCTCTGCATTCTCCTTTTTTTTGCTTTGATGGATATACAGAGGAACTAGGCATTCTTTATGTTAATCCTTAGATTTTATTTCCAACATACATTGAACAAATTCACTAGTTATTCCAAACCTTGCAGTGCTGTATGACCCTAGTGGGTTTAGTGCTTAGCTATGATATTGTAATAATAATAATTATAATAATCAAGCTTTATCACCACTTGTCTTCAGCATTACTATTTAAATCCCATCCACTTCCATCTCTGTTTCCACTTGTCTTATTTCCTGCATCACTTTCTTCATATTTTTTATGACTTTCTTTCCTATCAAATCTTGTTTCCCCTGCTAAATGTATGAAATTTTTATCCCCATTGTATTATCCCTCTCATTTTTCAGAATATTCTCTCATGTTTTAACCTCCATCTCCTCCTCCAGACTGTCACCACTTTCACTATTGACTGACAAGAGACAACATGCTTAATGTTTCTTATTTTATTTCTCTCCAAGATTGTTTTTTATTCTCAGCAGAGATTGTGTTGGTAATGGCTCCCATTCTTTCATTTGCTCTTGTTTTTCATTCATCATCTTTTTTAATTCCTTTTATTTTTGAAACGCATGCACCATTCAACACAAGGAGTGGTCGGAGCCCAATCCCCTCCGAAATATGAGCGAGACAAGTTATTTACTTTACTCACCTTGTTCTGAACCAAGCCACTCACAATGACACACACGTCCTCGTGAAGTTTATGTAAAGGGAAAAAAAAAAAGGGGGCTCTTGAAAGGTAATTCAAAACAAAGTTGGAAAAAAGCCTTCTTTTTATGAAAGTTTCTTTTTTATGATGTAGTAAATGTAGTGTGAAGTTTGGGTAGTGAATGCTGCACGAGGAGGCGTTTGGGGGGCAGGGGGAAGTCCTTCAAAGGGGCAATGTGGGGTGAAATATTATGCAAAAATTCGGGTGGGGAAAAATTAAATTTGGGGATTTAAAATTAAAGTATTAGTCAGAGGGCTGAAGGGGGGTTTTGAGGTGGTTTGGTCATTTAGGGGAAAATGGATCAAAGTAAAGACATGGAAGCTTATAAATCTGTAGTGAAGGAGGGCAGGGGGTTGGAAGGAGGGGGTAAAAGGGGGTGTTGGGGCGAGGGGGTTTTTTTACTTCCCGCAAGCGTCGTGGCGTGTTGAAAGGAGTGAAAGGAGACAAATGGATTTGGACCTGATGAGCGTTGAAGGGGGAGCAGGGTAATTTTAGTGAAGGCTTCATGGAAAACCCGTTTTTATATAACCAACTTGGTCCTGGAAATGGGAAGTACTGCCTGCCCTCAAAGGAGGGGTTTGGATATTGGCAGTTTGGGGATTACTATTTATTTTTTACGTATTACTTTAAACTACTGTATTCTGGGCACCTCTGCAAAAACAGGATTTGGGGAGTGGGGTGAAAGTGTTAAAGATGAAATATTTTCTTTTTGGGGATTTTTCTTTCTTTTAGGGTCACTCTGCCTCGGGGGAGACTGCCTACTTGTTAAAAAAAAAAAAGAAAATTAAAGCTTAAAAAGGCAATTTTTCCCCCCCTTATCCCCATGTTCATTGTCCCATCTTGCTTCCCTTCGCACATCACCCCTTTTTTAAAACCTCGGACTTCAGCCGCAATCTTAAATATAACCACCAACAACCTGCACATTGAAAAAATTTTGATATAGTTTATGGTCACGGCCCAAGCTGGCTCAAATGTTTCAAAAGTTTTCCCCTATGGAGGGTTTTTATGTTTTGTTCCAGTCCAGTTTTCTGCTTTGTGTTCTAAATATAACACTCCTTTTAAAAACCCTTTTATCTCCTTTTCACTTCCCAAATTTCTTTAAGCAGTTTCCCCATGCCTCATTAACCATTCACTTCTTTAAATTCATCACCTCACTTCTCGTTTGAAAAATGACAATTTTAATTAAAGGTTTTCTTTTTTACTCCAGGCACTCTAAATTTTTTTTATTCCATTTCATCTTGCACTTTAACATTAAGGCATCTCAAAACATTAATTTTCTCATGAACGTTCCTTAAACATTTTCTTAACACCTTCCAGATATTCTCTCTACCCTTGCCTTTTTCACATAAGTAATTTTAAAATCACACAGTTATTGAATTTAAATGTCGATATTCTTTAAAAAGTTTTTATTCAAGATTACTACTGCTCTTCATTTAGCTCTTGCTATCGCAATATACCTGACTTGATTCCTTTAAACTCCATACCATATAAACTCTTCCACTCCTGTTATCTTTGTTTCTTATTGTTAGGACATCCCCTTTCCTTCCTTTTTGTAACATTAGATTTTGTTAGCATTTGTGTTATATCTACATGTAGTCAGTTAACCTGGCTTCATAGTTATACTTTTTTTTTTTTTTTTTTTGGATAATACATGAAAGAAGGGAGTAACAAGCCATCTTCTTCAACACTTAAGGTTTCAAGGAAAATGTTTCTAATCCCTTACAGAAATGTGTAAACAAGCATTACAGAATTAAGAACCATTAAGAAGAGCATAGGAAAGTATATAATGAATATAAGTTGCTAAGATTTACCTACTACTTTAAATGTTTGTTTTCAGGCTTCAGGCTCCTTGTAAGGATTGTGCGTCTCCTTATGGTTTCCCGAAATGCCTTACCTCTTACCTCCAATGCTGATGCTTTTGCTGTAAGTTGCCTGTATCCAAGTGTTGTAGCACTTTACACAAAAGATCCTGTCAGCATCATTGTCATGACTGTAGATTGCACTAGTTGTAGTTTTAGAAATATTCGCTTGTATAAATTGGTATGTGAAGCATCTTCGAAAAAAATATAAATTCTTTCCTTTGTAATTTTCTGTTCTATAATTTGCATTCAGTCATGTCAGTAATTTTTCTGTATCATGTAAAATGTACAGTTTTACCTTGCTCCTCATATAATGCAGTCTCTATCTTAAGTCATTTAAAATTAACAATCATCAATTTATGTACCAGTTCACTAACCACAACAGGGGTGAGCCCAAGAAAAAAATACAAGGACTTTATTTCCTTGCAAACCCTGGCATTGAGATATATCTTGGTGTCCTATTTTGAGTGATTCTGAAAAATAATTAAAATTTTTACTTTTTCCTTAGCCTTTCAAAAGTTTCTGTCTTGTCTCACCTTTGTACCTAAAGTGTAAATGACTTTTGTGTATTCTACCTATATTTTCACTCATTATTCCTGTTTTTTTTAATGCATGTGCTATACAGATACTTGTTCCTCTTTATTTTCTGCTTTTATATTCCAATAAAAGTTTACAGTTGAGGCATTCAGTATCCTATAAATTAATATATTTCCTCACTACAGTTTCCATGGCTTGTACAAGAGTGGTCATACAGTGGACCCTCAAATTTAGTTAGTGCCATTTCTCTATGCAAAACTTTTTATTATCTATAAAATCTATTTTCTGTTAATATTTTTGGGTGTCTGGAATGGTTTAATTGGATTACATTATTTCCTATGGGAAATATTAACAAAAACTACATTTTTATAGATAAAAATAGTTTTGCATACAGAAATGGCACTACTAAATTCGAGGGTCCACTGTATATGTTTTTGTTGCTCCTAACTCCATTTTCACCTTGCTCAATTTTCTCGTGTTTTCTCAGTCATTAGTTTCTATTACACTCGTCCTTACATCCTTATTTGTGATAAATATAAGGCAGAGAAAGGAGTGAAAATAATATCTTAGTACAGGTGTAGCAGTATGTTGCCTTGTTAATTTTTATTTACCAATTTGAGTGCTGTTTGTGAAATATTTAACAGTACATTATTACGTAATGAAAGTAGTTTGTTAGATTATGTATTGGTGGATAAAGGTTGATGGGTAGGCTCCAGGATGTACATGTTTATAGAGGGGCAAACTGATATATCGGATCATATTTAGTTGTAGCTACAGTTAGAGTAAGAGGTAGATGGAAAAAGAGGAAGGTGGCAGCAACAAGTAAGAGGGAGGTGAAAGTGTATAAACTAAGGGAGGAGGAAGTTCGGGCGAGATATAAGCGACTATTGGCAGAAAGGTGGGCTGTGCAAAGATGAGTAGTGGGGGGGGGTTGAAGAGGGTTGGAATAGTTTTAAAAATGCAGTATTAGAATGTGGGCAGAAGTTTGTGGTTATAGGAGGGTGGGGGCAGGAGGGAAGAGGAGTGATTGGTGGAATGATGAAGTAAAGGGTGTGATAAAAGAGAAAAAGGTAGCAGAAGTGTTATAAGAAAAGCAGAGTATATGGAGAGTAAAAGAAAGGTGAAGAGAGTGGTGAGAGAGTGCAAAAGGAGAGCAGATGAAAGAGTGGGAGAGGCACTGTCAAGAAATTTTAATGAAAATAAGAAAAAATTTTGGAGTGAGTTAAACAAGTTAACGAAAGCCTAGGGAAAGTATGGATTTGTCAGTTAAAAACAGAGTAGGGAGTAAGTTGATGGGGAGAGGGAGGTATTAGGTAGATGGCGAGAATATTTTGAGGAACATTTTAAATGTTGAGGAAGAAAGGGAGGTGGTAATTTCATGCACTGGCCAGGGAGGTATACCATCTTTTAGGAGTGAAGAAGAGCAGAATGTAAGTGTGGTGGAGGTACGTGAGGCATTACGTAGAATGAAAGGGGTAAAGCAGCTGGAACTGATGGGATCATGACAAATGTTAAAAGCAGGGGGGATATAGTGTTGGAGTGGTTGGTACTTTTGTTTAATAAATGTATGAAAGAGGGGAAGGTACCTAGGGATTGGCGGAGAGCATGTATAGTCCCTTTATATAAAGGGAAAGGGGACAAAAAAGATTGTAAAAATTATAGAGGAATAAGTTTACTGAGTATACCAGGAAAAGTATACGGTAGGGTTATAATTGAAAGAATTAGAGGTTAAGACAGAATGTAGGATTGCGGATGAGCAGGGAGGCTTCAGATGTGGTAGGGGATGTGTAGATCAAGTGTTTATATTGAAGCATATATGTGAACAGTATTTAGATAAAGGTAGGTAAGTTTTTATTGCATTTATGGATTTAGAAAAGGCATATGATAGAGTGGATAGAGGAGCAATGTGGCAGATGTTGCAAGTACAGTGGACCCCCGCATAGCGACCTAATCCGTGCAAGAGGGCTGGCTGTTATGCGAAATGTTCGCTATGTGAATGAATTTTCCCCATAAGAAATAATGGAAATCAAATTAATCCGTGCAAGACACCCAAAAGTTTGAAAAAAAAAATTTTACCACATGAAATATACATTTTCCTACACACAAAGAGAAGGATACATGCACAATAGTAGAGTAGTACATGCACAATATATATTGTGCATGTACTACACTACTAAATGAAGAATAATGACACTTACCTTTATTGAAGATGCAGCATGACTGATGGGAAAACTGTGTCCTGGGAGTGCCTTTTCCTCCTGGTTTCTGTAGGTCCTTTTTTGGTATTTTCTTCCAGAACAGGCCTTATCACACTGTGTATGCCACTACGATTCTTTAAATCTCCAAACCAAACCCTTTTCTGGCTCTAAATTCACCAATATGGGGCACTAGTTCCCGGGAAATTTTTCCCCGTTCACCTGGGTGTTAGTTGACTGGTGTGGGTTGCATCCTGGAGACAAGATTAAGGACCCCAATGAAATAAGTTAGACAGTCTTCGATGACACTGACTTTTTGGGCTATCCTGGGGGGCAAATCCTCTGGGGTTAATTGTTTCTTTTGGGATTCTCAATAAGCCACCAACAACGGTGCTACAGCAGCAGCAGCTGACGGTGGTACAGCAGCAACAGACGATGCTACAGCAGCAGCAGACGATGCTACAGCAGCAACTGACGATGTTACAGCAGCAGCAGACGATGCTACAGCAGCAACTGACGATGTTACAGCATGCAGCAGACGATGCTACAGCAGCACATGACGATGTTACAGCAGCAGCAGACGATGCTACAGCAGCAACTGACGATGTTACAGCAGCAGCAGACGATGCTACAGCAGCAGCAGCAGCAGACGATGCTACAGCAGCAGCAGCAGCTGACGGTGGTACAGCAGCAACAGACGATGCTACAGCAGCAACAGACGATGCTACAGCAGCAGCAGACGATGCTACAGCAGCAACTGACGATGTTACAGCAGCAGCAGGACGATGCTACAGCAGCAGCAGACGATGCTAACAGCAGCAGCAGATGATGCTACAGCAGCAGCAGACGTACTACAGCAGCAGGAGCAGCTGACGGTGGTACAGCAGCAGCAGCTGACAGTGCAGCAGCAGCTGATGGTGATACAGCAGCAGCAGCAGCTGTACCACCAATAGTAGCAATGGTTGATTGGGGTTTAATTATACAACCTGGCCAGCTCGGAGACAACGCACTCCACTTTCATACTTATCAATGATCTTTTTCTTCATCTCCATAGTAATTCTCACCCTTATGCTGTGGGTTTGGCACTAGAAGCTTTTTGGGGCCAAAGGTCACTTATTTTCCCAGAAAAAAATCACCAAAAACACTGAAAAATACAAAATTTCCGTTGTATGCTTGGATTTTCCCCGCGGGGCTGGTGGTAAAAAAACCCACCCGCGGAACTGTGGCGTGGCTAGGCCGCACTTGGAGCGTCTCGGACGAAGGCCGCTGAGCGGGTTTTTGGGCGCTTGCGGGGCAAAATTTTGCGACAAAGCGTCCGTTATGGGATTGTCCGCTAGCAAGGGTCCGTTATGGGGGGGTCCATGTATAGGGAAAATAGGTGGTAATTTTCTAAATGCTGTAAAAAGTTTTATGAGGAAGTGAGGCTCAGGTTGGGGTGTGAGAAGAGAGGGAGTTTTACTTCCTGGAAAAAAGTAGTTTTGACGGGTGTGTAATGTCACATGGTTGTTTAAAATATTTATAGATGGGGTTTAAAAGAATAAAATGCTGGGGTTTGGGGGAGGGGTGGGATTAAATTATGGGGAATCAAATTCAAAATGGGAAATTGCAGTTCTTTTTGCTGTGTACGTGTTATGGGGGATTCAAAGAAAAAATTTCAAAGGTTAGTGGATGAGTTTGAGAAAAGTGTAAAGGTAGAAAGTTGAAATGAACAAGAAAAGAGTAAGGGGTGAGGGGATCAAATGTTTAGATAAAGAAAAATTGGATATCAAATTGGGGGGGAGGAGTATGGAAGAATGAAATTTTTGTATTGGGAGTTGACGGTCGGCGGTGGATTTTTAAGGTGAGGTTAATCATAAATTGATGAGGGAAAAAAAAGGGGAGTGGGCTTTGAGGGGTTTTTGGGGTCAAAAACCTTTCTATGGAGGCAAAGAAGGGAAGTATGAAAGTATGTAGTACCAACATTTATATGGTGTGAAGCTTGGGTGGTAAATGCAGCAGCGAGGGAAAGGTTGGGGGCAGGGAGAGTCCTGTCAAGGGCAATGTGTGGGTAAATATTATGCGAAATTCGGGGGTGGGAAATTTGGAGAAAGGTTTGGGGGTTAAAAAAAGTTTTAGTCAGAGGGGAGAAGAGGGGTTTTTGAGGGGGTTTGGTCATTTTGAGAGAATGGGTCAAAGAGAAAGAAAGGAAACATATAAATTATGGGGGAAGGGAAAGGGGGGGTTGGGGTCGTCTCGAAAGGGTTAGAAAAAAGGGGGGAAAGGGGGTTTTTTGGCGAGGGGCTTGGACTTCCAGCCAAGGTGATGGCGTGCTAGATAGGAGTGAATGGGGGACGAATGATACTGGGACCCGACGATTTTGGAGGTGAGCAGGGTAATATTTAGTGAAGGGTTTTTGGGAAAGGGTTTTTTTCTATAGTGGGCTTGAGTCCGGAAAGGGAAGTACAATGCCTGCACTTTAAAGGGGGGTTTTGGATATTTGGGAGTTTTTATGCCTAAACTGTTGTATTCTGAGCACCTCTGCAAAAGCATGATAATGTGAGTGTGGTGAAAGTGTTGAATGTGATGAAAGTATTTTTTTTTTGGGGATTTTCTTTCTTTTTTGGGTCACCCTGCCTCGGTGGGAGACGGCCGACTTGTTAAAAAAAAAAAAATTATTACAGGGGAAACCCCCGCCGTACGATGACATAGCGTTACGGTTAATCCACCATACGATACATTTTAATCAAAAATTTTGCCTCGTCTCCGATAAAAACTTCCCTTTTACGCGATTCGTCTGGGACCCATCCCACATGTGGCCTCAGCGACAGTGTTTACAAGCCAACCAGTGCAGTCGCATCCACACAACATTCGGTACATTTTATATTATCCCAGTGTTTTTTTGCTTGTAACTGCAAAATAAGTCACCATGGGCCCCAAGAAAGCTTCTAGTGCCACCATGTGGTAAAAAGGGTGAGAATTAGTATGGAAATTAAGAAAGATTTTAAAGGGTTTGGGGCAAACCCCTGAGAAGCCTATGCCAGTTGTGGAATCCATTGTGCCTACTTCAAAGATTAAGGAAATGTGTGCAAAGGGGTTGAAGTGCAAACCTTTATGGATGAAAATCACCCTAACACAACTATTGCAAGCCGTGCTGGTGACTGTTACAACAACAATTTTGTGGCCCATTTTAGACAAATCTTAAAGGAAGGGGAGGTACAGACCTCTATGGACAGATTTGTTGTTTTGACAGAGGTCCAGTGACTCTAAAGCTGTCCTATGGCATTAAAAAAAGGGGAAGTAACCCGGGAAAGGACTTAAAAACCCGCAAGTCCTAATGGAAGGGGATTCCCCTTCTAAACAATAACTTCCACAACTCCCCTCCTCCCATCCTATCAATCATCACCAGATCTTCAATAAAGGAAAGTGTCATGTATTCTATTCTTAGTAATAGTAATTGTGCACATCTTCTTCAGTTTGTGTGTATTAAAATTAATATTTCATGTGGTAAAATTTTTTTTTTCACACTTTGGGTGTCTTGCACGGTTTAAATTTTGATTTTCCATTATTTCTTATGGGGAAATTAATTCGCTTTACGATAATTTCGACTAACAATGAGCTCTCAGGAACGGATTAATATCATAAGGTGGGGGTCCACTGTACTTTTAAATGCACGATACAGTGAGGAAAAGACTGTTTCTCAATAAATATTAAAATTCATGGGTATTTCTCCCGCTCTTGGACAGTTTTTTCTCAATTTTGCTCTGGGTAAATACACAGGAAAATAAAGCTTTAAAAGTTAATGCAGTATTTTAAACCCGTTGTCAGGTAACCTGACCTATCTTCCCATAGGGGATTCAGTTTACATAATACTTTTTTATACAACAGTTGTAATCAGGAACAAGGGACTGCATGTGAAATTGTACCCGTATGTCATATTATATGAAAAAGTAATTTTTTTAATTTGGGGCATCTGCAACATATGTAATTAGGAAATTGTAGAAAGTTGTTCTTTTAATTTTCTGTAATATCTGTTATGACTTGTTTTACAAAGTATTTCATCCATTCTTCTTCACAGAAAAAAGTTCAAAATGCTCCTGTGTCTGGTAACTTGGATGCACCCGAAGGAGGTTTTGATGCTATTATGCAAGCCATTGTTTGTCAGGAGAAACATCAACTGGAGGCAGGAGCTCGTAGACTGCTTGTTTTCTCCACTGATGCTGGCTTCCATTATGCTGGTGATGGCAAGGTAATTTTTCAATTTCCTCCATGAGTAACCAGAATTACTACTCTGGCAAGTATTGGATCAAACAAACTGTTTTGAACCCGTGGGCTGCTAACAGCAATGGTTGGTTGATCAGGCATTCATCAAGGAAGCTTGGCTAAAGGCCAAAGAATTGGTGCTATTCTCACTTCCTCAGATCAAAATTTATCACTTTTTATCTATTCATTACAATGTCCTTGGGAAGAAGTGTGCCGGTGACATGCAACCTTAACCTTTTGAGGGTTTGTCCCGTAGTTTTTACAGCTTTGAAACCAGGATCTAAGCCATAGTACTACGTCATGAGCTTATTTCACTCAGATAAGGTTTTTTTTTTTTTTCTCTCTCTCTCTCTCTCTCTCTCTCTCTCTCAACAAGTCGGCCGTCTCCCACCGACCGAGGCAGGGTATAAGCGTATGAGCGGTAAATTTGAGCCTAGATATGAGAGCATGCATCTGTGGTAAGTGTGCATCTTATAAAACAAATCCTGCAGCAAGCAGTGCTTAATGAGGAAAAAACTACGACTTTTTTAGATTTAAAACGGCAATTTGTGGTGTATTTTCGTATGGCTTTTACAGTTGTATTTGTGGTTTGTTGATCTCCTGTGATAGAATGAAAGATATAGTACAGAAATTGAGATTATTTTAATTATTTTTAGTACTGAAAATAGCTTGAAATTGAGCTCAAATTAGCAGAAATGTTCGAGTTTTGCCGATGTTCAAGAGTAGACAAATCACATCATGCATCCTGTACACATCAGCTGTGGTTAAAATGTGTGTTGATGAATGTGCTGATATTATTTATACAATATTGCATAACAGTAAATCTTCTATTTTTTGGTATGAATAAAAATTCTTTGTGAATAAACAAAATGTAATTCATGTGTAAAGCCTGGAAACATAACTAATAAACAGAATGTTTAGTGCCAGGAATGCCTGCATTGTTTATTCTGGAACCTATATTGAAATTGGAATATTTTGAACTTTGTGTGAAATTAACCAAGTTACCAATTTCAAGTCACTTTATTGGGTAGTTGAAATAGTTGATTGGGTAATTTCTTGTGCTCGGTAGATAAACTGGAACACATAGTAACAAAATAACTAAAAATTTGGTCTAATGGAGTAAAGTAATTAGCCAAAAATAGGACTCAAAAGTCAGCAAAAATCGCTGCCACAGCAAAATTCATGAGTGCAATTTCATCAGTTTTTTATCAAGTTTTGTACTTTGTTTTATTACCATCAGAAAAAGTTTCTCTAACGTTTCAATTTTTTTTTTTAATTCCTGGACCCTGGGAATTTTTAATTTGGGGGTCTGGACCCTCAAAGGGTTGATGATCCTTGGGCAACTGATGGTCTTTAACCCCTAAACGGTCCAAACGTATATATATGTTCTCTCGCCCAGTGCCCCAAATATTTTGAAAAAGTTTTTTTTTTTTCATAGAAATAGATAAAAATTTTCTAAGTGTTTTAGGATTAAAATAAAAAAAAAAATTAGGGTCAGTACTTAGAGATATGAGGCTGCAAAGTTGGCACTTAATGCTTACCTGATGGCAACATCGAGTCCTTCCGCTTGCAGAAGTGTTGCCGAGATACCATTTTTTCTCATTTTTATATTTTATATTATTTTTATGTTCTGATAATTACAATTTATTGTAGTTCTTGTTATTTCATAACCAATCTTTGCTCTGACACTAATATTAGGTACTGAAATTGTACTCAAATTGTCACAAACACATTGACAGATGGACATTTACACCTGCCTTGGTCATTTACTATTGTCTAGGAATCTCTTTCTTTCAACACACCGGCCGTATCCCACCGAGGTGGGGTGACCCAAAAGGAAAAAACGAAAGTTTCTCCTTTTACATTTAGTAATATATACAGGAGAAGAGGGTACTAGCCCCTTGCTCCCGGCATTTTAGTCGCCTCTTACAGCATGCATAGCTTACGGAGGAAGAATTCTGTTTCACTTCCCCATGGAGGTAAGAAGAAATAAACAAGAACAAGAACTAGAAAGAAAATAGAAGAAAACCCAGAGGGGTGTGTGTGTATATATATATTTGTACATGTATGTGTAGTGTGACCTAAGTGTAAGTAGAAGTAGCAAGACATATCTGAAATCTTGCATAAGACAGAATAAAAAGACACCAGCAATCCTACCATCATGTAAAACAGTTTACAGGCTTCCGTTTTACACTCACTTGGCAGGACGGTAGTAACTCCCTGGGCGGTTGCTGTCTACCAACCTACTACCTAGATTGTCTAGGAATATATACAAAGTATGTATAGGTCCCAGCAATGTTTTGGATACACAGGAGTATAGAAGAAGGGAGGAGGAGGAGGAGGAAGAAGGAAAAAGTTCCCTTGAAGCATTATGTAAGACAAGTGTCTGACAAGCATCCGGGATGGCAGTGATAAGGCGAGATGTGGGATGACATTTGATGGGCGCCAGCGAGGGTGTAGAGATAAGACGAGATAAGCTATGACATTTGATGGGCTCCAGCGAGGATGCAGAGATAAGAGGTGACATTTGATGAGCTTGTATCTTAGTCTCTGATTACCTGTCTCTCTGTCTCAGAGCGAGCCACTGTGAACCAACAGGTATTCTTATGCATTATATCTACAAGCACAGTATAGCACTTCGGATTTTTTAGGTTATTTTAGGTAATTTACACTATGTATAAGTGTATTTGTGTGTACCTGTGAGACAGACAGACAGAGACAGATAGAGACAAAGACAGATAGACCCTGAACTTGGGGTTAACATCACTTTCCTCTTAAAGGGGAGTGTTAATATGACATTACATCAGTGAATCCTTGATGTTTGCCACACTGTTAGCTCAAGCTGGCACTCAATTTAACTGGTGCTCCCACAAGGTACTAAGCGGTCCCAGATTTTTTAATATGGTGCATGCCGAGTGTTAAGACCCATTCTATGCTGACCAGGCATCTCAAGCCAATTGTGCCAAATTTGGAGGCAGGAAAAATAAAACGTATATACGTTTGGGGCCCTATCAGTAAGAAAGTATGTATACGTTTGGACCATTTAGGGGTTAAAGCTAACAGACCAGTTATTTCCCAGTTTAACGATGGTGGAGATGTGCGCACCTGCCACAAGTGTTAGCAAGAATATTATCAGGTCTGAAATTAAAAAGTACCCAGTGTCACCTTCCTCATATTTTCATAAAGGTAGCAGCCAAAACATAACTACTGGTATTACAGTTGTGTATAAAAGTATTGTGCAATTTGTCATAAAATAATTGGAGTTGCTGCTGTCACAGTACAGTAATAATAGTGTAGTGAATAAGGTTCTTGCAGTATATTTTATTAAAAAAATCCTTGTTTGTAATTTTATGGAACATCATTACATAAGGTGATAATGATTTCAGCTTGGCGGTATTGTTAAGCCGAATGATGGTAAATGTCACATGGACGATGATGGTGAGTACTATACTCACTCCACACTCCAGGATTATCCTTCAGTTTCACAGGTAAGCATTCCTACTTTCCTCTCAACATGTTCTTACAAAATTTTTCTAATATTTTTTCTTCATTAAATATCATTGAGACTTCCAACCACTTGACAAAAAGTTTCAGAGCTAATGATGCAGTAGAAGAGCTTGCTTGAGGAGCCAATTAATTGATGGAAATACAGAAGGGTGTCATTTTCCAACTGATGATTGATTCCTCTATTTCTAATTCTCTCAACTCCCTGTGCTTCGGCTGACAAGTTGTATTGCTCCTACTCTACCATGTAAGACTCTCATTATCTCTTATTTTTCTATAAGATTATTGATTTAACATAAACATTAAGAGATGTTACCCTGCCTTGGTGGGAGATGACTATTGAGGTAAAAACAAAAATTAAGCTGTGACGTTTATGACCACATCATCCCAGGCAAGCTGGGAGGGAAGTCTGCATATGGAACTTGTTACAAATAATGCGATATCTAATAATGATAGAGATCTCCAGTGAATACTAGAAAGGACTGTCCTTCTAGCATCCAACCTGTTACTGGGTTTTTTGTAACAAGTAGTCAGTATCCTGGTCCAATTATCCATTAGAATTTAGTAAGATTCAATAGTGCTTCAGGATTACAACTGGTAGGCTACTAACTAAAGAAATTAAAATTTAATAAGTTTATTAATAACAATAAAGTTGTCTAGGTGTATAATATCAAAGTAAATTAGAGTAATCAATTGAACATAATATAGGATACAAGTTCCTACACTTCTCTCATGTACAATAGTATTGTGCTGAAGGCACATTTCACATCTTTATGGCTTTTAAGTACCGTTTGGTACATTGTTAGCATTTAATAACATAATACTAATATATATACAAGTAAGTTTGTGTGTGTGTGTAAGTGCTCTAAGTAGTTTGCTATGTCTCAAGACTCGACTATACTTAACCAGTGACTGACTAAAAGTCCTCACATAAACTAACTTCTTGACCATCCTGGCAATCAGAAACGACTGATAAGCCAAACAGCAATATAACAAGCAACAGCAACACAGAATTAGGAACAAGGAGATAATATAACGACACTAAGTAGGGACCATCTGCAGATCCTCCACGAAAGTCACAAAAATCCCATATTACTGAATCTAAGTTCAGCATAAGAAAATCCCCGACTGTGACAGTACACAGATACCAGTACAGATTAGGTCAGAAGCTACAGCTCAGGACCTGAGTTTCTCAGAGTGTCTATGAGACTCGCACAACCTCAGTACAGCGTCGAAAATCACTAAGTCTAGGCTATGTTCTGTGAACAGAGTTGCACAGAACCAACAACAACAAAGCGACAGAGGCAATCTTCCAACAAGGGCCAGCAATGGAGAGCTGGAGAGGCACATCTTGTTGGAAGCAACGTCAAACAGAACGAGCGATCGCAGGCCAGGCAGACTCTCCCCCAGGTGAGGTGTGATCACCCCATCCTGATCACATGACTCTCCGTGGACTGCTGCTGCCCAGCAACACAGAAGCGGGCAAGGAAACAAGCGAAACGATTGTTAGACAAGGCCGTCAGCTACTTAACACTGGAACTATGAGCACTGAATAATATATAAATGTTATTATCCTAACTAATAATATAACTAAGTCAAATAATAATATAAAGCAATATACAGTGGTCCCTCATTGTTCGTAATTAATCCGTTCCTGGAGCCGTTACTATAAACGAAATTTACGATTTACGAATCAATTTTCCTCATTAGAAATAATGTAAATACAATTAATCCATTCCTGACACCCAGAAGTATTAAAACAAAGAAATTTTTAACATGAAATATACATGTAGTACATAAACAATACAATGGGAAATGATGAATGAAACATTAACAGCATAACACTTACCTTTATTGGAGATTCTACTTAGTGTATGGGAGACTGGAAGAGGAGAGTGGATTGTTTATAGTTTGGAAGGGGAATCCCCTTCCATCAACACCTCGGGTACCATTTGCTTTTCTGGGGTTGCTTCTCTTCTCTGTTTCTTAATGCCACTAGGACCACCTTGAGTCACTGGAGTCCTGTCTCACAAAATAACTGTGGAGAGAGCTCTGTTTCTGGCATCTCTTTAACACTTCCCTAAAATGGCCCAAGACTTTGTCACTGTACATGTTGCCAACCTGGCTTGCAACAACCTTGTTAGGGTGATGTTTCTCCATAAAGCTTTCCATCTTACCCCACATAGTAAGAATCTCTTTAATTTCTGAAGAAGGCACCTTCTTCCATCTCTCTTCCTCCTCTGCAGCAAGATTCTGAGCTGCGATGTTGCTCTTCCTGCTGAAGCTCTTGCAGCTCCTCAGTGGTGAGCTCTTCATTGTGGTCTTCCACCAATTCTTCCACATCCTCCAAACTCACATCCAACCCCATGGAACTCCCCAGTGCCACAATTGATTTTACAACAGGGTCAGTCCCAAATTCTTCAAAATCCCTCTTGTCGACACAATCTGGCCACAGTTTTCTCCAGGCAGAGTTCAAAGTCCTGGTAGTCATTCCCTCCCAAGCCATACCTATAAGGGTTATGCAGTGGAGGATGCTGAAGTGTTCTCTCCAAAATTCCCTTAGGGTCAGGTGAGTGTCTGTGGTCACAGTCAAGCACCTGTGAAACATTGCTTTTGTGTAGAGTTTTTTAAAGTTTGCAATAACCTGCTGGTCCATGGGTTGGAGGAGAGGAGTGGTATTCGGGGGCAAGAACTTTACTGTGATGAACCCAAACTCCTCGAAAATTAGGTCATCCAAGTTTGGAGGATGAGCAGGTGCATTGTCCATTACTAGCAGGCACTTGAGATCCAATTTCTTTTCCAAGAGTTTACTCCTTCACACTAGGGCCAAACACTTCATTGAACCACTCGACGAAAATTTCCCTCGTGACCCATGCCTTACTATTAGATTTCCAAAACACACACAATTTACTCTTCACAACATTGTTTTTCCTGAACACACTGGGATTTTCAGAATGGTACATTAGTAATGGCTTCACTTTGAAATCCCCACTAGCATTAGCACAGAACATTAACGTCAGCCTGTCTTTCATAGGCTTGTGTCCTGGCATTGCCTTTTCCTCTTGTGTAATGAAGGTCCTCTTTGGCATTTTCTTCCAAAAGAGGCCTGTTTCATCACAATTGAACACTTGTTCAGGTTTCAGTCCTTCAGCCTCTATGTACTCCTGGAATTCATGCACATATTTTTCAGCCGCCTTGTGGTCCGAACTGGCAGCCTCACCATGCCTTACCACACTGTGTATGCCAGTACGGTTCTTAAATCTCTCAAACCAGCCTTTGCTGGCCTTAAATTCACTCACTCCACCATTATTTGCAGGCAATTTCTTTACCAAATCTTTATGCAACTGCCTAGCCTTTTCACAAATAAACGAAGTCATTAGAGTATCTCCTGCTAATTGTTTCTCATTTATCCACACCAATAATAACTTCTCAACCTCTTCCAGTACTGGTGATCTCATTTTTGTCAGCATAGTTACTCCCTTTGCAACAACAGCATCCTTTATTTCATTTTTCTTGGCCACTATGGAACATAAGGTTGTGTAGGGTTTCCTTCACATCCTGGACAGTTCGGCCACACTTGTACCACTTTCATATTGTTCAATGATGGTTTTCTTAAATTCAATTGTATTTCTCACCTTCTTTACCACAGGCTTGGCACTAGGAGCTTTCTTTGGAGCCATGGTAGCTTATTTAGTACTTGCAAGCACTAAAATAAATGGAATATTATGAAATATTTCGCTGGAGCACGTGAGGGGACCTTTGCTCACTGGTAAACAATGCCAGACTGGCTGCCGCCCTGGCTCACGTCGTGGGTACGCGTCCCGGACGAACTACGACTCGCGAGTCAACCTATGAAAAGCGAGTCCATGTTTATATGAAAATACCCCTATGATTGGCGAATTTTACGATTGCCGGGAACTACGAAAAGCGGGGGACCACTGTATTTACGATTTAGCTAATATTGCAAATATAAGCAATATAAAATATGAACAGGTTATATACATTGTGACCCATTCAGGGGTCGCAGTACCCCCCCAGCACGACAAACGGTCGCACTAGGAGTTGCGTTAGTGTCTTTCACATGATTACTGATTACTCATGTCACTTTATTAACACAATTTAATAAAAAAAAATATCAGTCGCTCTTGTGCCAAGCACTTCTTACATTTTACAGTGTCTATTTCACTATTAAGTTATGCCCCTCGTTCTAGGGCAGTAGACAAGCATGACACGTTGAGGTTCGATCATAGTAGTGGAGACTATATTAGAACAGCAGTCTTGTGCGATAGACAGGAGACGGCATTCCACTCTTAAATAGTGGTAGTGGATTGCGAGGCAGTATGGACATCTGCTTACGAGAAAGCTTGAGTGCCGTAACTAAGGTGTGTAGAGAGGGGGGGGGGGAGCTGCGGCAGGACTGTTCCACCACTCGGCAACTAACATCGCCCACACAACACTACACACTCAGCACTCAGCTTCTCTCTCCAACTGTCTCCTTCCTACACCAACATATATCACCACTACTGTGAATATATAAATAGAATAATTAGACATGAGTATACATAGTTAACATGGGCTTGATAGATTACGTTACTTTACTGAATTTGACGTAGCAAGTAACAAAAGGTATTCGGGCATAAAATTACGTTAATTTAAATGTAACAATGATAATTAAGGACGTGACAGCATCAGCAGTTACATTACAATGACCTCTGATATGTTGTATACTAATAGAGTAAGGCTGGATTCTGAGAGCCCACCTCATGATCCTAGCATTTTTACTCTTCATTGTATTTATGTAGGTGAGTGGATTGTGGTCTGAAAAAATGTTAATTTTAAATGGGGAAGTGCCCAAATACACGTCAAAATGTTCCAAGGACACCACAAAAGCTAGAGTCTCTTTCTCAATAGTGGCATATTTTTTTTGGTGTCGTTTGAGCTTTAGATCAATAGTAACTTATAGATAAATTAGACACATGTGCAACTCTTGGGTATCTTTATTAAGGAACGTTTTGCCACACAGTGGCTTCATCAGTCCATACACAGGAGAAACTTGAAGAATAGGAGGAGAATGAGGTAATCAGTCCCTCAACCTCGAGTCGATGTGGTCAGTCCATCAATCTTGAATAGAATACGGCATATGAGAGGAGGAGGAGCTTATAAACCGTACGCAGGAGAGGTGCAGCAGTCGTAGGTGGTGTCACATTTGCCCAATGTGGAAGTAGG